GCGGTGGTCATTCAAATTTAAATTTCATTATATTTTTCGTACCATAAAAAAGAATCGATTTCAATCTGGTACAAATTGAACACAAACTATTAAAGTCTACTTGGAGGTCATGTCTATGGCGAAGTAATTCAGCTGAAAATCTGAAGATCCCTTCAATATCCAGCTTCAGATAAAAGATCGTCGTCGCTAGACTGCGGTACTTTTATGCAAATTCATACTTTAAGAATACGATAAAAAAGGTAGAGTCTCGATAGAAGATCATTCTGCATGCCAAAGATTGCATAAAGCACTGCACTTTGAACGTTTCGTACGTCACGTGCAACTTCATACTTTGAAATATAAATCTACATAAAAGTCATCGCTCGAGTTTCAAGTGAAGATTAAGAAAACCGTGAAAAAATCATTACTGAATCGAAACTGTAAATTGAAAAACGTCAGCTGCACGTTTCCATTTACCTCAGCAACGAATTTGTAAAACGTGAAACGTCTTTCTACATTTTTCTGCGTCCGTGTCTAGACAGTTACGAACGCGTTAAATAATACTAACGGGAAATTAACCTTCGTCGCGGGAGATTTAGACGCCAGCGGGCTCCCCTCGGTCGACAGGGATTGATTTATTTCGCTCGAGCGAAACAGTGGGAGAGTAAATTCGTGGCGTGAGGCGATTCTAGGAGTCGGGTCGCGGAAAAATTATGCGATCAAAGTGTCCATAATCGCTTCAACGTGAGATTCGAAGGAGTCACGTGGAGCGATGAGAATGTGTACGACATCGGGGACACTTGAAATTGGCGATTTGAGATAAAAATTCGATTGGAAAAGGTCGACACATGGTGTATAAATAAATAATTTTAACTTGAATTGATATCGTCTCTGTTGCACTAATAAACTCGACTAAAATCGAATTCGATTCGCTTACTATTAGTCGAATATTGACTGAGTGACTACTGAAATTGATCCAACACTCGAATTTGACTTGGTTACCGAAACTTGGACACTGGAACTTGACTTGAATTCGATTACTTGATACGATTACTAACAAACCCTGAATTACTGATGACATTCTCAAAGTCCACTTATATAAGAAGATCTTATATAAGTCTGCCATTTCCAAAGGATTCTGAGGAGTCGTGGAGCGGAGTGAAGGATTTCTCTTTAACACAGTGGAGTCACAGGTCTTCGTTCCCTCCAAGACACTTCTGACACTCACGTGTTTGCAAATTGCTGTTGCATGGAAAATTTCTTTCACTCGAAACTGTAAATTTTCCAAATACACTTGAAGAAGGATGTGAGAAATGTCTAAAAATTTGGAATTTGACAAGCTGAGCGTGGCAACAACACGTCGTTGGCTGCAACATGGTGGATCGTGAATGATCGATGGTACGATCTAAATTTAAGTTCACGGCAAAACGACTGGACGGTCACGCGGGAAACATCGCGGCAAAGCTTGGTGGATTTTTTCGGGGCCGAATATTTACGAGCGGTGTGACGTTAATTTTTCACGAGAAATTGCCCCGGCAGATGTAATTGCGCTCGCGACTCCACCGGTTGATTCAATTTTAAAAGGGGGAAACTTCGCCATGGGACGAAAGAAACATTGAGGGATTTATTGAATATCTCTACATTTAATTTCAAGAGGAGAGTTTGGACGCTTTCGTTAAACTTTGAACAGGGTGAAAAACTCAAGAGACCCTAACATTTCGTCATCTGATTCTAACGTTCAATTAAAATGAGCAAGGCTCGAGAAAAATTTTTCAATGGTTCTTGAATTTATGCAATTTTCGAGAATAAACGTATTCTTTTATCTTTCCATTCTCTGCATGATGTGAAAGCGTTCTTAAGACAGTCAAAGCAGAAATCTTTGAAACAGATTTCTTACAAAATTACAACAGTTTATGATATCTACAATTTTGTTTCAGTCATACTCTCTTCACTGTGTATCGATCGTGAACGAAATTTACACGATTTATTTTCCGCGTTGAAGGCGAACGCCGTGAATTTTGATCGAATAATCGCGAAACAACAACGGCGAGAGCCAGGTGATGTCGTTTGCGCGGAGATCTATGCAACGCGACGCTGCGACCGCAGGGAATTAATTGATTTCCAACGAATATCAACGGCGTGTCACGGTCGAACAGTCGTTTAATTCCGCCTCATTTACAGGTCACCGATTCCCAGCGAAAACTAACGAGACCAAAAACTGAAACCAGAAATGAAAGGTCGAACCGCAAGCGAACAGATGTCGCCATTTAGAATCAGAAATTTCATAGTTTACCGCGTGCACACGTTCGACGAAATGATCCCTCCTGTCGCTGTTGCGCTCCTAAATTTAACCGGATTATCTACCGCTAAACTACGCTACCACATCCGTTGGAATATTCACCAGATGAAACTACTAGGTACAACTGGTTTTCACTTCTCGCGTATAATTCTATCAATAAAGAAAACACGTGTTTTCCATAAATACCCGCAACGATACTTAATGTGACACGTGAAGCGACGCTATGGCGATAAATTAGAATCGCGACAATTGGCCGAAAATTACCACGGGGGAGGAAAAAGAAAAAAAGAAAAAAAGAAAGGGAAGACCCGGCGTGACGTCGAGACGAATCACGATGCCCCGATCAAAAAAAGAAAAGAAAAAGGAAAAAAGCTCGTGGAAATCTACATTTCAATTTAACGTTGCCCGGCGATGATGCAGCGCGGGTATTATTTCGCCGGGAAGAAAGAGGTATAGCTGGAAGGCGTTTCGTTCGTTCTCTTTCTCCCAGCGCGGAATTGAATGAAGACAGCGGCGGTGGCAAAGTTGGCACGATTTATTTTCACCTAAACCGAAAGCTGGCCACCGTGATTTTACGACGATTTATTTTCCACCAAGCCGGAGAAGCTGAGCGCGTACGAGGCACACGCCACACGTGCACGTGAAACGAATTAATCGCGTTCACCGAATATATTTATGAGAGCCTGCGCTCTTAAACGCTTTGAAATTTTAAACTGCCCTCGCGCTCCCTTTGCGATCTTGTCCGCCATTTTTCGGAAATAGGAGAACCTCATCGCTTCCGTTCCGGCAAATTTTCCTTCGCTTCGACCACCGCCCGATACAGATAACGCACGACGAATTTAAATATCAGATTCAATTTCGAATCGCGGGATCTTTATCCTTATCGTCGTCCGGCCGCTAGATTTCATCCCTCGAGAGGTGGGTACGTTTTTCGTTGCCGCTTCGATTCACACCTTTCGGTATCGATACCTTTTTTTTTTTATTACCGTTATATCGATTCCAATGGCGAGCGAAGGGACGTCTGGAAATGGAACAGTTTCTAGAAATCGAGATCCGCAGATGGAACCGTGAAAAATGTAGCGTGGAGAATAATTAATCGGTCATTCGTTCCCTGTGTGCCGTCGAATTTTTAATGTCATCGAATTGACTTTTCGAACGCTGAAAATGCAGGTAGAGGGAAAATAGATTTTATAATGATTTAATTTGTTTCGACAGTGTAATAACTGGTGTATATCGTTGCACGATTTTCATATTACTACGTGAAGTAAAAATGTCTCGCATTTTTTTGAATTTTTGGGTAATTATCATCAGCGAATTATTACGACGTTAAAATAACATAAATGGCACAGTTTGTACAAGAGATATTTTTAAATTCTGTATGAGAAGTAAGAATGTTCATCATTCTTGTGTTTTTGAATAATTATTATCCAGCGATAATTATAACTGTGTTTTTGAATAATTATGATCGTTGAATCGATAATTATTATGACGTCGAAATAATATAAATGAAACAGTTTACACAAGCTCTACATATATAGAAATTCTCGCGTTTATCCTAGCTGTCGGATGAATTTGAAAAAATCATCCCTGTTGTAATAATTGTTTCAGAAACGGCAAAATAGAAACACCTCGTAAGGATCGTTTCCTTAGAGATAATGATGGACGACGACAAACATAATTACGGAACTTTACATCCATTTCTACATAACGATATCTCTTGTGCGAGTGCAATTCAACTCGCACAATTCAACGATTCCCTTGGAACTTTCTCAGCATTTTCTCTCCCTTCCGTTTTCTTTTTTCTTTTTTTTTTTTTTTTAAGGTTACTTTACGCGCAGTTGTTGCATCCCCCTGCGCGAACGAACTTTCTTTCCGTTATTACTCGCGCCTCACTTGTTCTTTGATGCCAGGGATTATCGTTTTTCCTAACATTGCTCGCGTTTATCTCAAAGTGCTCTTAACGGTTAAGTTTACGGCACTCGTCGATTTGACGGGTTTCTGATTTTAAATTTAAAAAATCTATACAATCTTTTCGCTGGCTTTCATTAACAGAATACTACGAATATATACATATATGTTCGAGATCATTATTTTCTCAAACTTCTGATCTCGAAATTTCATAAATGGACTAATTTGGCGTTTCTATAAGGGAGATGCTAAGCATTTTGAATATCTGCGCTATGACTATGGTATAAAAATCGCACAAATTGGAGTTTATAATACTTACAATTTAAAGATTCTACAAAAATTAAAATCGAACATATTTTATAGTAAATGAAATTACACTCTTTGCGTTTACAAAATTATGAACTGATCGTTTTGTTAAATTCTTCAAAGCAAAGGGGAAAAACACAAACTACAACGTAATCTCTGGTAAACGATAAAATTTGTACGATTACGTTGCATCGAGATTGCGTGAATTTTTGCCAAAAACGTTTAAGACGTTTGAAACTGAGAATACTTCTGGTCCGATGTGGTTCAGATGTGTCGAAAGATTCGTCGTTACGGTTTTAAACAATGGTGTTCTTAAATGCATTGGCGAGCGACGTCGCAGTTTCGCCAGACGGTCCGCAAAAATCGCCTAAACCGAGACTGCTAGAGTGGAAACACGATTTCGCTTCAGTTAACCGGTTAATAGCAGCGCACTGTGATTCGTAAAGAGCTGATTTAGCACGGTCGCAACTCGAAACTCGCGTCCATTGAATTCGAAAGTTTTGCTTACCGAGGAAACACGCCTTGGTCTGTTGCTACCAGCTCACCATCCTTAGCTGCAACACCGAACAACCGGCAAATTATGTTAGCTTTCTTCCCTTCCGCAGTTGTGTTTATTATACTTTCCGTACAATCGCAGCAAGACACTATTGTAGCATTAATCCAGTCAGATAATTCGATCTGTACAAAAAGAAGAAAAAACATTTCTTTTACTCGTTGGAAGATTAATTTTCAAAAGCTCGCGAGATTTTAAAAAGAAATTACAATCCTCGAAACCAGTCGAAGTATTGAGAGTTAGACAATTAGAAGGAAAGGGTCGAGCATTCTTCGCGCCATCTTCGTATACTTATTCTCTCAAACGTAATTAACGGTGAAAAATGACGACTGAAACTCCCGTTCTCCCGGTTATTAAATCCACTATTTTGTCTTGCGAGAAAGCTCTCTTTCTTCAAATTAGAAACTACGCAAACTACGAATAATAAAAAGAAAACACTAGAAATGACAAATTAAAGAAAGAAAAGTAGGAATAATAAAATTTTCGAGAGGAACGTGCCACGAGGATTTAAAAAAAGAAAAGAAGAACGCGGAAATATTTCACAGACCCTTGACGAAAAAAAAAAAAAAAGACTCACGCTTGCGCATACACACTTTCCCCCTAATTAAGGACGGTTTCACGCACACGCGTGATACCGGTTGAATTATCGCGCAATTTCGCGGACACATCTCGCGGATAATAGCGTGAAAACAGACGTTCCCCGTTTCTATCACTTTTAGCGCGGGTTGGACGACGCGTGGCAGTGGTACGAGGCCCGCATTTGTCAGACGTTGTCCCCCATACGCGAGCCCATTCTCCTTAATTCGATTCGCGTGCTTCTGACGAGCATTACGAGTTCGCTAGCTTTCGCTAGATTCTCCTAACTGTATTTCGTCCGAGCAAGACGGACAGGAACGCAACGTTAGAGGGATAATCAGTTTTCAGATTGTTCGACAAATTGAAAGCTCGCCGCTTGTCGCCGGTTGGACGCATCGCCGCAGCTGCACCCTCATTTGCCGGCACGAACCCGGAAACACAACAGTGGCATAACACTGAAATTTTCGAAATCCCGCCGTCGTATTTGCCTTGCAGCGGAATCCTACGAGGAATCTGTCTGTGGTGGACTACGAAAACAGTGGCTCAGTCAGGCGAAACTGGTAATGATTTGATTTGACGTGACATATCAAAAGTGTCAAGCGTTGTACTTGAAGAAAATGTTGTTTCATTGTTTCATAAATTTTTAGAACTTTATCCAAGTCGTTTTCGTTCAATGGAATTCCTTGTTTCATCAATCATTAATTTCTAAGGCGAGAATGTTTCAATACTTATGTATAACCGCCGTGCATGTAATGCAACTTATTGCTGTGCATTCGTGGAAAAATTCCAAGTTTCAAAATATTACACGCGATGTGTATAAAATATAACGAGCTTTCCAAATATTACTCAGAGTCAGTGAAATTTCCAAATTCCGAAATTACGAGAAGAAGGCTGCGGAGAATGTTTCACGAGCGATTTCGATAGGGAAGAGGGATTGCTCGCCGATTTAATTAATATCCAGAGGCAGAGGACGACGTCCTCGAAGTTTTAGGCACATTCGCATTCTGCGCGTGGAGCGGCACGCGACTTTGGTAAAACTCGTCGGGCCAAGTAAACCGGTGTCATCTATTTTCCCCGACTTAGCCGCCTATTACCGGCGAAACTTAAATTAGATTCGCACGGTTTAACTTTTCGGTTTTGACTGTTACCGCCAGTTGCAAACTCTCGGGACCGGCAAATCCGGCGGGCCGAGCCTTGGAAATTACTCCAGTTAGAAGCCGGAGTTGCTTCCTCAACGGAGGGGAATCATCCTGCACGCCCCCGCTGAGATTTCAAGGTTATAACGAATTCGGCCCCTTCGTGTAAGATGTGAATCAAGGATTTCTGGGCATTCGTGAAAACGTAGAGTCACGTGGATACGAAATATTCTTATACTTTTCCAACATTCAACGGAGGGGAAATATAATAATTTTTAATCCACCGATCTACGTGCACGTAAATTTTTCAAAAATATTAGTATAAAGTATAATATTCAATAGGTGAAACAACTTCGAACGTACATAGGTTCCACTTATATTTGCGCAAATGTAAAATTACCATGAGCAAAAGCTTCGCATACGTGTCCCGTACGATCGGAATATTGTTGAAGTTTGGGTCAAATTTCTTTCGGTGGTGGCTTTCAGGCTGTATTTCCCAATTTTTTTTTTTTCGAAAGAATAACATTACAGAATACATACGTAAACCTCATCCGCTGCCACCGGTATATCGATAGCTCTCGGCGAAAATTGAAACGTTTAGAATGGAACAATGCTCGTATTCGCTGGGCTCTATTATGCAAAATGTAATGCATTGTAGAATTCTTAATATTAAAAATTGCAGATTTTAAGAAAAAAGAGAGGAGAAATCCTACACTTGTGCAGAATATTTCGACAACGTTAGATCTGCAATTGAAATTTCAAGACGATCAACCGAGATGATTTTTCAAAATTTCTCAAAATTTTGGTAAATTCAATCGAGAATCACGATTATCAAAAATTTAGTTGTCACAATCTCGAACAATCACTCAGAAATTACAAACGTACTGTAGCAATATTGTACCAGTAGATAATAAATCAGTTACTAGATATAGCCCCCATAAATGTAAATTAAAAGGAAACATTCAGGATGACGTGGCCTCCTTGGAACTTCATTTCAAGAAAGTACGGCCCGCGCGTGCAATTTCCACATTGATCCAAGAGATATCGCGCAGCGTCGATAATAATTCGCGCGCCGGTGTGATATTCATTTCACGGGGTATCCCTAAACAACGTAGGGCAAAGAAATACGGCCCGGTGTATCGCGTGCACATGCCTCCCCCTCCCCCCTTCACGTTGCACCTCATGAATTTTACACCGTTGCCGCTGCGCCGCGTAACTCTTGCGTTGGATTTTAATACGGAAGACACGTTGGCTCGGAGATAAAGCCGAGACCCTCCCTCGAAAACGTAATTTTCGCTCCCTCACGTCACGTCCTCCTTCAAGAAGATTTCTGAGGGACAATGCACTTTCGAACATTTGCAACGTGCGTTATTAAAAGTCTTTCCTTTCCTTTTTTCCTTATCAGAGACTGACAAGTCACTCCTGGAAGATAGAAATTAAAAAATTCGAGCGAATTTTAATTATTACCACGGATTATTAATACTTATATATATGTATATATGTTGTACTTTCATATTCATGATATCGTACTCGCGTAAGCGATCGAGTGATTAAATTAATTAATTAAATTATTAATTCGAGAGTATATTTATACGCTCGAAAAGTGCGAAAAAATTGAATCAATAGTGGTGTGTAATTTCACTTTGAGAAATTATTTCTCTCTCTCTCTCTCTCTCTCTCTCTCTCTCTCTCTGTGATCCCAGCAAATTAATCTCTGTAAATAAGATACGAAGAGAAATCGAAACGTTTAGTTAACCTGCTGCGAACGAGACCCAAATTGCCTTCTATCATATTCGTTCTATTAATTTTTTCGACAGATGTCGCGGATATTTCACTTCACTCCACTTGCAGTGGCTCCGGAGTGTGTCCGTACACTCGATGAAAGATTCTTGGCACTTTAAACTCTCGTAACTTCGCGGCGAGGAAAGAAGCACGTACAGCGAGTTTTAAGAGATCGCGTGCAAAGGGGAGACTTCAATCTTCAAGATAGCGGGTAGACTTACAAGTTGCGAAGCAGATTTTTCAAAGATCCTTAAGGACGCTCGAATTTTTTTCGATTTTCAAGAAGCGGAGTAGCCTTCTTGCTTTCCCTCCGTTGCACAACGTAAAAACGTCATTTCGAAGTGAGCAGACTCAAGCGCGACAAAGTAGAGGCCTCGTGCTTTAAAACGAGCCTAACTGGATCGTTGTACCATTCTTTTTCACAATATTGCGATAACATTGAAGCACATCGGCAATCTCTGACATTCGACGAAAAATCAATCAAAACCGCTGTGATCAAACTGAGCTCATTTTAAAGCACGAAGCTTCTACCTTTAGAGGGTCGAGTTAGTTTCATTCGAGAGTGTCTCTCGTCATTCTGAGAGCGTCATTCTCAAACGAGGATGCTACTTTCCTGAAAAATTCTGCAAATTCAAGCGACTCTACGCTGAGGAGATCTTCTTCGGAACTAAATCCACCACTCTTTCGAAGATCGGAGTCTTTTCTTTCCAAAGATTCCTCAAAATTTGTCGAACAATTTTCGTTTCCCAGCGGCAGGGATACAAAGTGTCGACGACTTTTCTCACGAAAAAGTTCCACGAGTATTGTGACGTTCGTAGCGCGTGTTTTCCACGTAATTTCCGGTGAAAGTAAAGGCAGCGAACGGTACGAAACGGCGTTTCGCGGGTAAAACGCGACGTAAACCGCGTGATTTATGCGATCGATAGCGAGGGACTGATAGCGAGGTAACGAGTCCGAGCGACGATGGAGCGTAATTTAATATTTATTTAAACAGCCGCGAACGCTTGATAACGCGTAACAGCGAAACGCGAAAGACACGGCGGTGGAAGAAGTCCGGCAGGACCACCACAACGTTTATCGTTCTCGTAAATTCGCTGCTGAATATCAATGAACGAGCCACGTCGTTCTGCGACTGAAACAGAGAGCCGACCGTGTCCCGTTGTTTTCCATCTGATACGGAACACTGGCTGCCACTCATCCTCTCTCTCTCTCTCTCTCTCTCTCTCTCTCTTTGCCTTTATCTCACTGTTCTGTTCGTGGTTTTCTTGGCAACGCAAGAAATTGCTCTGCTATCGACCGGTCCTTGTCAATATCAATTCGATCGTGCAGACGACAACTGTCGTCCAGGGTTCTACAGGACGTTTCAGTAATTGCGGCGCAAGTAATTGCGCTCACTCCGAAAAGTAAATTGAGAGTCAGGTAGAGTTAAGGTTAAGAGAAATTACTCGAGAAATATTCGATGAATTCTGAGCAATTACAAAGGGGAAACCTCAATCTTTAAGACACTAATAGAATTAGTTGCGAAGAAAATTTTTCCCACCCATGCAGTCCACGAGGATGCTTGAATTTTGAAATTCTTTTGGAGATGACAGTATCTTTATCTAACCCTTTTCAAGAGAGCAGTGTGAAGC